GGAAGCGGGCACTGGTGAAGGAGGTGGGAGTGCAGGGTGGGGTTGGGCATGTTGCTGGCGGAGATACTAGTTCATCTGATAGTCGGCGGCGCAAACGGCGTTTGGCGAGGAGGCGTGGCTCGAAGTAGGGTGATACCTCGAGGGCTACGCTGGATGCAACGTTTGCCCCTCTCCAGGAGTTTACCTCTGAGCAGTTGGCTGGGGAGGTGGGGTGGGCTCTAGGGGAGTCGGTGGGGGGTGATGATGCATGGGATTCTACTGTGGAGGATGATATGGGGCTAGTGGGACGGTATTAAGATCAGATTTGATATTTTTGTTTATTTTTTCTTTTTTTTTGGGAGAGTCGTGGGCCGTAACTACCTTCCCCTTGCTTGATATGACCAAGGACTTTGGTCGCTCTATTCATGTCGGGTTGGGTGTCGGTTTGTCCGTTGGTGCGAGGGAGGCGAGGGTCAGTGACGGGTTCTGTACTTAGCTTTCGTGTTTGCTCACTCGCGGAGGTTTTAATGGTTGGGGCTTGGAGACTTTGGCGCTTTGTGTGGTAGTTGTTATTTGAGGGAGTGCGCCGGTGTATTGTAGGGACCCCGGCCCCAGGCTGTGACTTTCGAAGCAGTCCCAGTCTCCTTGTGGTCCACTGGAGGCCCACCCAGCCTTATGCCAGGTGTACAAGAGATGATCGCTCGGCCATAAGTCTTTAGGGTGCGGCGAGTGTAAATAAACTTAAATTGAATTCAGACACCCTTTCTTATGTGCCAGGGAATTATCTTATCCACCACCGTACCGTTTCACGATACTTTTCTTTTGCCCAACTGGAGTAAAAGTTTCTCCTCATCACCTCCATCATCGGGTCATCACCCCCTCTCGTTCTGCAACCTCCTACACAGCCTAACAGGGCTTCACAAAGTCGGCTATCACCTATCTTTCGGCCTCAGGGTCCTCCCTCGCTTAAATGCCCACGCAGCAGCACCACCACCTCTCTACCACGATACTCACAGGATGACTTTGATAAGCCCAACAGGGCTTTCATTAGCATGTTCGACAAGTTCTTTGAGTCACAGGGACATAAAGCACCAAACACGTTTGGAAAAGCCTTTCCCATCATTATCCACATGATGCAGATTTTGCACGAAGACTACAGGAAGGCGACCAATGGGCTAACCAAGCACATCACCGCCCTCACTGAGAAGTTGGATGCCCTCCGCGCCTCCACTTTATCTCAGCCTGCTGATTCTACTGCCCCGCTGGCATCTTCTACTACCAACACCACAGAGCAACCCTCTGTTCCTCCTCTACCTCCTACCCTTTCCCATGCCCAACCTCCTGGCCCGGCAGCCCCTCCTTCTTGGGCTACCATCGCGAGGAGGGCTAGGAAGCCCTCCCAGAAACCCACAAAGCCTGGCCTCAAGCCAGCCAAATACTCCTCTACCTCGGCTAAGCCCCTTACCGACAAGAAAAAGGGCCTCACCATGCGCGAGGGTCAGCTCATTGTCAAACGAGACACTACCTCTCTCACCTCTACTGCTGTACAGCTACGCAATAGTATTAACCAGGCCCTGGCCTCTACACTTATCCAATCTGTCTCCTTTTGGGATGGACATGTTACCCTCACCACTATGGACACGGTCAGAGCCACAACTGTCAATACCCAAGTTGGCACCTTCTTGCACCTCATTCCTTGTGCCTCTACCATCCACCTTGACACTCCTGCCACCCAGCTTCTGGTACATGGCCTTGCTACCTCCATCTCTTTGGCATCCCTTGCCCAAGAACTCACCACATTCAACTCAGGCTTATCCCTTACCGAACAGCCTAGGTGGCTTACCTCTGACTCAACACGTATCGGCAAACTTGCCTCAACTGTTGTTATTTCCATTACTTGACCCAAGGCTCCTTCCTTTGTTGGCAAACGCCTCTCCGTCTTCTCCAACACCTACCGTACCGAATGCCGTTTATGCTTCAATAAGTACACCCAGTGTGCCAACTGTCACAAGTTTGGCCACCACAGCATCAAATGCATCCTGCCTGCTTCCTGCCGCTGGTGCCTTCTCCCTCACTCCACCGGGAATCACTCCTGCCCTACCGCTACCTGCCACCTTCGTGGCTGTCCCTGCAGCCATACCACACTCAGGTGTGTGAACTGTGATGGCCCACACGAATGCCACTCACCTGTCTGCCCTTTTCGCCCCCGTCCAGCTACCCAAGAATCTGAGGTTTCAGAGGAACATGAAGAAGAGGTGGATATGGATGGCTTCACATAGGTTGGGATACCTATGATGATGATAATATTATGAGGAATTAGGCGTCAGACTGGAGCAATGCTGCCGGTGGTAGTAAAATTTTTATTTGTGCTGGGATTCCCGTGGCCTGGCTAGGTGGGACGGGTAGATGCCGGACTGAGGATGGACTTGTACTTTAGCTTTAGTATTGGTACTCACTCGCTGGAGTGGTTAACGGTACAGGGACGGAGGATTGGTATCTTGTATTTTAGTTGATATCCAGCCCGCGCTAACTCCCAGCCGGAGGAGGACTAGATCATAAGCCAGATTTTGGCGCGACTAGTATAAATAAACTTAGATTGAATTCGGACACCTGTACCTAGGAATTACACCTCTCTTCTACTTCGTATTCTCCTGAACCCGTGAACCCTGACCCTGACCTCCTGATCCCTGCACCTCGTACAACTCGGTTAGGTTGTACGTCAGTCCCTAGTCCTCGCCTCCAAACTCCCGCCTGTTCCTATCTTGGTGTGCCTTGGGCTACCCGACCCTCAGACCTCATCCGTTACAGTCATGCAAAATCCATCAGCTGACTCCTATAAGTCACTGCGCAATATGCCTAAACCTAATCAAAACATAATAACCAAGTCAGGCACGCAACTCGCATCACCTGAGTGAAACCCATGACTCATAAATTGAGTCATGTACGAAAATTATAACATTATGTGACTCACAATGGTGAGTCATGAACAGGTAAACATAATATCCTGTGGTGCACTAGTATGCATCATGTGAAATCCCAACATACCTATAGCTCAAAATCCCAAGCTATGTAAAATCTTCCTTGCTTAGTCATAGTTTGTAACATTCTCTCACTTAGTATTGAGTTGGTGTATGCTACTTAGCCTTGAAGGCACTCTGAGCAAGATATCCATAGTTTCAGCCCAGTAATTATTGTCTTCTAATCAGTGTGCAAACAAGTACCTGTTGATTGTTATTGTATAACAAACAGTTCTAACATTTTCTGAAATTCCTCCAAGAATATTTCCAATAGAAGGTAGGGTAATAGTGTCCCTAAGGTAGGGTAAGTATGTCCATAGTGATATGAAACTAGTCTCTATGGCAAGGTAATATGACGTCCTCAGGCAGAGTGACTTCACCTGACCTTCAGTCCTAAACCTAGATCAATGTTAACATAGTCACATTACAACTATGGTTCCGGCCACCCATACACACCACCTCGATTGATGCAACAGAGAACGCCTGGGTATGCACTACCCTGCCAATATAGCCCTAAAAATATTCACCCTGAACTTGTATTGGAGTGATTTTTATATTATTGTTTTTTTTATAACATGTACAAGTGCAATACAATCTGGCAACTTTGTATTAAAAACAGAACAAGATAAAGAAATTTAATTATTGACCTTAAATATTAGGTTGAATGAGATCTTCACTCAGATTTGGACTTCTAAGAACCTGCGTTCATGGAGAGGGCTTACTCTCCATCGCTAACTACACAGTATCAAAGGATTGGTTAGGGCAATATTGATAGGGCATTGTATGATGAGGCATCTTCTGTTGCGTCAATCGAGGTGTTGTGTATAGGTGACTGGAACCATACTACCTAGGTACATTTATTCCTAAAGTACCTTCTGTTCTTAGAGATATCCAGAGCATCAGATATCTCTTGGACATACTCTAGCATGTCCGTCTGGTCTAACATTTAACCTCATGGTCTCATAGATGGGTATAGACTTAGGTTACTATAGCTCTATAACATTGGATCATAATACAGGCTCATCTAAACCTTGGATCTCAATTAGCTAGCTGAGTCACAGATGATATATTCTAGGAGCCCATGGAGCTGCCAAATTTTCTTCAGGGATATTAAGGCCTTGGCCTCAATAGAAACTTCTATGGCTAAAGGTATAAAGAGTGCCATCTTTGAAAATCTATCTATGATACCTCAAATTTTAATATACTCTTCTGACTCAGGTAAAGCAATGATAAAGTCTATTGAGATGTCTGTCCACAGCCTCAATGGTACTCTAACAGGTTCTAGCAGACCAAACTTCTTATACCTGATAGACTCAGTTAATAACTTGGTTCTTAGGCTTTAACATACCAGCAGGTCAGGATTTACGTGTCGTATGGTGTAATACTTGTACTCAGCCCCACCTCCACATACGACATTAATTCGCCATTCAATAAAGAATATGCATCCATGGGTAGTAGGATGCCCTTCACTTGCAACCCCCTGCATATATTCCTACAAACACCAAGCTCACCATGCCTACAATACCATACCCCCCTCCTCTCTCGTTCACGATTGTTCAGCCCCACCTATTTCCTCCCGTCCGTCCCATAAACTCCTGTACTTGCCAACTAGAGCTGGCAGGACTCCCATATGGCCACAAATCACAAACTGGAAAGTCTTCCAATCACTCGTAGTATGATGAAGTTCAGCTAGAGCACATCATTCAGACCACCTGACCACCTCCCAAAAATATCAAAAGGGGTATAGCTTTCTTTGTTCCTAGTGCTGTGTATTGGGTGGTCTTAATACTGCCTTGTCACCATGATACAGATATATACCGGTATTCAGCTAAAATGACCTAACGTGCTCTGCTGCAGGGTAGGTTTTGGATCTGCGCATGCTTTCGATCATGGGTTATCTTGCAGAATCATGGTGGGGTTGCTATTGGTATATTTTTGGTGATAGGCAGGGGGTTATCAAGTCTGGTTTTACATGGTTCGAGATTGATCTTTTTGTTTTTTCAAGTCTTTGTCGATAACCTAGGTGGTTATGCTAGCTATGCCTGTATTGGAGTTTAGGGTAGGAACCTAAATCCAGACATCGTTGGTGGCAGGAAGTCTGGGATTGCGTTTCGGGCACAAGTCTGAGATATTTTGCACGGCCTTAGATTGCCATGCTCTATAATAGACTTCATATCTATGTCCGGGGTCAGCTCTGGATATCTTGGAATGCATGGTACTCATTCTTTGGTCGTGTTACGCTTCAAACTAATTTTGCAAGATGGTTCTGGACTCTATCGCAAATGTGTATTATACTACTGCGTTCCCATAACAAGTGATCGGGTATATGGCGACAAAAAACATTAAGTACATTAAAAGCATTAAAATGTACGCTCAACTAATCCATCGGAGGAAGAAAAACTCCCGAAGCCACAGATAGCAAATCTCACCCCGGGAGTCTCTGTGTGTTAAACCTTCTCGCACTCTCCCGTTGCACCTCCAACTTCTTCTGTCTCTTTGTCTTCTTCCCCTCAGGAGCCATATCAGCTCCTCTGGTGTCTCCCGAATAAATATCATAAAATTGGTAGCTAAAACTAACTACAAGCCATATCCCAATCCAGGTAACCAGCTTAAGGTATTACGTTCCATCAGGTAAGCCAACCAAACACGAATTGCCAGCCAAACTACAGTACATCTGGGATTGTACCACCCGCACAACTCATAGGAAGACTGCATCATTACCGGCATCGCCGGTCGACAGGCAGGCCCAAGCCGAAGCCTAAACCAGGGAGTCATGGTTATTTTCTGGCCCCTCCCAAAAAAAAACAAAGGAAAAACAAAGGAAAATACAGTGACATGGGTGCGGCCTAAGACTCCCCGAACGAGTGCTCTTCTCCTCACCCCCAACCCTACGTGCTACAACAGGCACATCAATTAACAACCGCGACGATCGGGCTCAGCCCTGCTTCCACCACATGGCTCAGGTGCCTTCCACGACGCCACCATACCGCCACAAAAACCATCATGGGCCCCATTCCTCCACCTGCCCCACACATTCACAAGCGACGAAATCCATTGAAATGTATTCTGCCAAAAGCTCAAAACAACTCGGTAGGGACCGTGGCCCCTTACCTCATCATCAGACTGAAAAACCGCCGCCAGAACTGATGGAAACCCGATGGAAAAGGCCCTTCCACCTAATCCGCATGAGAAATGAAGCCTAACCACCAAAGACTCTAAGGGTGTTGATTGGGTGATCCCGAAGAGCTGGCAGGTTCCCTTGAACTAAACATGTTGCTGAATTTAGGATTGTCCTCCATATCTTCCAACCCCATCCTGATAATCAGATCATTCTCTGGATTGCCAGTTTGGGTAAAACAGTACTTATTCGCCACCTGTCGTGGAGCATACTCTTTCAAGAAACTTCGCCCCCTAGCTTCGTACCTTTCGCTCTTCCCCTCGACCCATTTGCTCTCTGGCTCCATAGGTGTACTTCGCCTCCCAGCTTCCTGCCTTTCCCTATTCGTCTTCACCCAGTCGCTTTCGATTTCTATAAGCGTGAGTTGATTAGCGGGTTTGTTTGTTTGGCTCACCTCGCACAGCTGCCATCATAGCCTACTCACCTCTGTCGTCACCACTCCCTCATACCCATAGTGGGCAGCACAATAGAGTGGTGTTCGCCCTCCATTATCTGGTTTGTTGGAGTCAACGTCATCCCATCCAAGTAGTATTTTTACCACTTCCTCGTGCCCATTCTAGACAGCACACTAGAGCGGTGTTTGGCCCTCATCATTTGGTTTGTTGGGGTTGATATCATCTCGCCCGAGTAGCATTTCCACCATCTCCTCGTGTCCATAGCAAGCAACCTAGAATTTAGATAATTTAGGTAGGTTTTAGTAATTGTTGAGTAAGGTGGATTAAAATGGTTTAGGAGCGGTAGGTAAATAGAGGAGAGAAAGGTTTGTCATTACCAATCAATGTGGAGCCACATTGCTCCTCGCTAACATCTCTGAATTCTTAAAAATACACCTTTGTGATAATTTGCCCCACGTTCGTCTTGCCTGAACCGAGCTAGTTCTGCCGGAGTGCAACGTTTGGACCACTCAACCAATATGCGGAAATCCGCTTCTACACTCTTCGACCACATGCGATTAGATTCCTCATCGGTCTCGGCATTTGCAAGTCGGGTTGCTCTCTTATTCATTACGAACACCATGTGCCTGTGGACTAAAAATATTTTGTTAGTAATAGATGAGAACTAAGGAGAATTAATTACCATACCCAAGAGTCCTTCAGCCTCTTTCCATGGTAAACCATACAATCTCGTGAAAGTCGCATGAGAAGTCATTAGACTATTCCGAAACAGAGAAACATCGGTTATGACGTCTCCTTCATGGGATCGGTGGTTTCCGGCTTGAATAATTACTTCATCCGTCGAGGTCTGCTCGTTTGCCACTCCACGCCGGGACGTAGCAAAAAAACGTTTCCTGATATCGAGCGCGATGTTTCTCAACGGACGGAGGACATTAGACTCTTCGGTAAGAACTCTGATTCGTTCTTCCAAATCTTGAGTATTAGCCCTGCATTTCCGCTCATGGGCCCTGGCTCTAGTCGACAGCCCATCTATCTCCCTCCTCATACTTTCGATAGACTGCAGAACGGAGGTCCCAGATTCATTTCCGTAAGCCGTCTTCGGTCGTGCGAAGGTTCCAACTCGAACCTTTTTGATTGATTTAACCGCGGTACTTAGGGAATCCTTGACCGCGGCTAGCTCTTCCTTTGGGTCGGTATTACCGTCGACGTCGCAATATAGGAGACTAGCCACCATCTACAAAATAATTAGTACACTGGTTGAAAAAAGAAGTATGGGGTGTTCATAAGCAACTCTACCTTTGGTACTTTCACTTGACTAGTGTAAGCAAGACACGGGGGAGCAGTGACAACAGTAGGTAGAGGAAGGGAAAAACCGTGGACCGGCAAAGACTTTAGATAGGGAGGGGGTGGGCAGTGACAACAGTAGGTAGAGGAAGGGAAAAACCGTGGACCGGCAAAGACTTTAGATAGGGAGGGGGTGGGTAAAGTTTTGTGGATAAAAATAAATGTTTCAGAGACTCGTATTCGTTGGTGAAAAAAAGGTTTGTTTGGATGCAAGTAATCGAGGTTGTGTGGGGATGGAAGGGAGAGGAAAAAAAAGGGAGAGAAGGTCTTCTTTTATCATACTTCCCTTTCTGAAGGGGAAGCTTACAAAGCGACACCACGGCAACAGCGTAGAAGGGCTTGGCATACCGGTACGCCAGTGCTGGTATGGTGGGGGACTCCTTAAACCGGACCACAGCGACATTTGTTTTGGCTTACTAAGGGTAGGTTAATTTAGGTTAATCTACCGTTACTACCCGGTTAATATGTAGTTACCTTAGGCCCTGGCGTATTAACTGGTATATTAACAGTAAATAACGGGGGGTGCGACATTGTCCAAATAACTGCCTTTTGATAACTCAATCAAAACCTTATATTTTTTAAATCTGCTTCTATTACATTGTTCTCCAGCTTCTAGTCTATCATTTAATAGATTTATATTTTTGATAGGTGTTATTGTTCTCGAGTCTTCATCATGCAAAGTTGGGCGATCTTGGGGTTCGGAGTAGGTTGATTTAAGGAGTCCCCCACCATACTCGTACTGGGGGCGGGTGGGGAGGGCTGCAAATCGGGGTGAGACAGCAGGGATTAAACGAGATGCTTGCAGGAGATCACTCTCGGAGGCACGCATCTTCTGTCGGACTGTGTTAGCAGACTTCTGATGCTCTGACTGCACTGTGCAGCACGGTACCTGTAGTATGATAAATGCAGCGATTATGAAAGGCGTTTGGTGATACCCTGCCGTGGAGTACCGGTACCGTACTCGAGTACTATACTGTCTACCCGTATGTCCTCTCGCAGGAACATCGGCACCGTGGCTTTCGGTTCAAGACTGCACCGGGGGGGGGGGAGGGTACCAGCCCTCTCACCACTGGCGGTCTCACGTTCCACATGGCCCTCCAGCTGTCGCCGGTGTCTTAGCCCGGGTCCCCCATAGAACGGGATAGGGATGCAGACCCTCCCGGAGGCTCACGAGGCAACAGCGAGCAAGCTGAGGTTACCGACACAGCATTTTCTTTGGGGATAAAAAAATGAAAAATAGATTAATCTCCCTCACCGACACATCCTCAGCGGAGCAATAGGAGATGAGTCGGGCCGAATCTGTAAGCTCCTCCTCGTCCGGTTATAGATACGTGGGAAAGGTAGGACGGGTGGGCTGTTTGGGCGATGATAAGATTTAGACACTGTACCGCTATTGTAGGGAATGCCGTGCGGTACGGGGTTGCTATGCGTGGCTGTGCCTTGGGTGAGGGAGCACAGTACTCGAGTATCGAACTGTGCATTCGCATATCACGTGGGGCACCGTGTGCTAGCGGTGGGCTAAAACTGTTGGGCTTTCTCACCACAAGCACCCCTCGCGAACCGAGAGAGCGTTTTGAGGAAAACCCGAGTTTCTCGCATTCTACTGGGCTCTTGATCATTATATCATACTCTATATACCGGCGTTATTCTTGACCCGGATGACAGCGCGTCCCGCCGGTACAAAAGGCTTACCCCGGGCCCCATGCCTGCACATTGCACAGCTGACTGTATGATGTTGTGCAGCGCCAGTATAGTACCGGTACGCCAAGGTTTGATGGCCATATTTTTGCGGGGTCTGGGGACTGGTACACCCGCCGGGTACACCCGCCGCTGGGGTGGGGATGGATTGGATGACCTCCCGCAAAAGCTTTCCTGGAGAACGAATCTTCTAAATTTCTCCAGTCCATCTCTTCATTGAGAGACCGCTCCTCTTGAAAAACTGCCCGAGCCAACACCGCCTCCTGGGGTCGAGTAACCATCGGCCGAATTCATACCCCTGAGGAAAAAAACGCACACACCATGCTAATGGGGTCAGAGATTCGGAAATTTAGAAATTTACGCCCGTGATCCGGCAAGTCATCCGTCAAATCGTATCAAATTTCCCTCTCCCACCACTCCTCTCGTCCTGGTAGACTCTAACGGCTGCGCGTGCCATCTCGAAGAGGGATCGTGCAGTGGGGAGGCTGTGCATTATGTACGGCAGGATGGTGGTATATATGGCCCGGGGTATGACAGGCCTGAATGTGGTTGCTGGGAAGAATTTTATTTGGCGGTGACCAGATTACCGGCTGCATCACGGCGTCGGAAAGTGGCCCATTTTTGGCGTGCCGGGGGGCGGAGGTGATAAAGCGTTAGACCATGAAAATAAGTTCCATTCTCGTCATTGAACGGTGTTGATCACTACCTGTATTACACGACTTTAGGATCGAAGCAGAGGGACTGGATTTCAGCGATATGCAATGGCAGGCGTGTTCGCCCGCCTTGTTCCATCACTCGCAAGGTAAATATCCCTCCAGGAAAGCTGCTTCCTTACTCTGTCTGCTCTTTGCGTGGGTGGGCCACTTTTGCGGCCACTTAGCCTTACGTACCTGTCTGCGGGATACGTACCTGTGTCGTGTTATCCGACTTGCAATAGTAGCTATGGTGTGTTTTAGAGCTGTCTTTACGAAGGAGAACGCCCCCAAAAGAGCACCAATATTGTGCAAGAACCACCGATACCCCCCCTGCTCGCTCATTTTTCCTTTCACCCCTTCTACCGCTTGTTCCGATACCACGGCCTACCCCAAAATCAACCCTGCTTTACCTCCTTCTTAGGGATCGACTTTCAGCCAGCGACAGCCACTGGGGAATGGCTCCTGAGCTTGCAACTTATTATGCGGTCTCTGTATACGTGTGAGGAACTGTAGGGGCCACGTGTGGGATTTCCGAGGTTCAGGTTGTCCCCCGAGCGTGGGTTTGAATTGCCGTTCGAGGTATCATACTCGGAACTCTTCACATTAGATTAGCTCTTCAAATACCTCTGCAAACTGCTTCGCCCCCTTCTGCATACCAGTCTTCATAATTACTCAAGTGCAATCCCATGGCTTTTTGAAGAGCTGAACTCTGAAATTTTGTCCGCCCTGGAATGTAGGATCCTCACTCTCTTGTCCACTCTGGTCCCTACATTTTTTGGTCTCCATCGCAGATTGGAGATATCACAAGTCAAAACAAAACACCTTAAGCATTACCCAATTCACCATACGTCCTCCAGCCCTCCATTCCCGCCCATGACACCAACAGCAAACAGGTGCTATTAAGTTGCGATATGGCCGCCACTAGCTGAAACCATCAATCAGGCTTCGCCGACACCTCGCCGATTATCAGCCCCTTTAACCCAAGCCCCCCCCCCCAACCGATGGTACATGGGTGGGATACGTTTCCACCTTTTGGATATGATTCAATTTCTTTTTTTTTCTATCGTGGAAGAAGAAAAGCCGTGACAACCATTCAGGTTTGGAATTTTCGGATACCCCTAGAGGACCAACGTTGCTTCTTGAAGCTAGTGGGGCATTCACCCATTTCCAGGACTAAAACCAGGTCAGGTGCGGAGACTGGTGGGTTGGATTGCTTCGATGGTGGTATTCGTGAGATGACATAAATACCCTACCACCGCACGCAACTCACAGCACTCATGAGATGGGGGGACCTTTCATCCGGAAATCCAGGTCTATTGCGCATTCTGTGATTCTACGATACCATACTCATCTCCCCCAAATCTTCCACTTCCACCCCGATTTTGAGCCCTTTTTTCGCAAAACGAGTGATTTCTGGTGATTACAACTACGGTATGGGTAAAAGAGGGGTTCGTGGCAAGCCGGATGCTGATCATCACCAGAAATCCCCCAGAGGTGGAGAAGAGTGGCGATCCACAGGAGGATCGATCAGTGGATAATGGATCAAGACTTAACGGAGCGGCAAGTCATACAGCATCTTACGCTTGTTGTCGATGCTCCTAATGCCGATTATCGAAAGCGGCAACTCATAGCTACTGGGGGCTGCGCGGACGTGGGGAGTAGTTCGAGATGCTCTGCATTGGTGCCTACACAACTAGAACTTTTCCTTTTTTCAAAACGTTTTGCGAAAGTACAATCCTCAGTCTATGACTGAATCACAGCAATAACCTGTCGAGAGTATAAAAGTTCAGGACGAGGAAGTAGCATTACCGTGTAATTGCGGCTTTCCAGGGTCATGTTATAGGGGTTCTTTTTCAGCGGGGGTTTTTGCCATGGTGTTCCGTGGCATAAACTTGTCCTTGTCATTCTCGTGGTAGAACCCCTATAATGCCTCGCGGTAGGAAACGCTACCTTGTACAAACATATCTGGAGTGACTGCCGCTCCCCGAGGGGGGTAAACACGATGGATCGAGGGATCTCGGAGGGTTAGTCTTTATTCCCGAGTTGCATTGTCAGAGTGGGGGATAGGCATGGCACAAATGGCTACCATCCCGGAAGCCCTTCCCAGGGCCTGAATCTGTACAATACTCTTTGGGAATGGCCCGACCTCTTCCCCGCCCCCCCCCCCCCTCTCCCTACGTCAAAGGTCCGGGGTTTGAGAATGCGCTGGGGAGTCCAGCAGTCAATATTGTCT